AGAGGCTTTCAAACTTTCTTTTAAATAAAGTATTACGAAAAGACTAAACTGTAAAACAGGCAAGTGGAGTGACTCTAGTTGAAGCTGAGGTGGCAGGTGTGGAAGGTGCCTATTCCCTCACCCTACCATGGCCTCTGAGGGGTTCCCCAAAGCTATTTGGGGTCCAAACTATCTTCAAGTCCCTGGAAGGTCTGGGTAAGACTCCAGGGGAGGTGAACCACAGCTGGGGGACTTCTCATTGCAAAGTTCGAGTATAAACTTTAAGTAATATATGGCTTCAAATCCTTCTACACTGATATGCTGTGAAACTTGAAAGAGATGAAATAAGCTGCCCAAAGTTTCATGCTCCACCTCCTAAATGGAGATAATCATATCTGCTTCATAGGGTTATGATGAGAATTAAATAAAAAAAAAATGTGTAAAACTAACAGCATATGATGCAGTAGAGGGCAGTCAACAATGGGGGACAGGAGATTTACATTTATTGAGCTTCTACAGTGTGCACCAGGTACTCTGCTAGAAGTTTCTCACACACTGAATTTAATCCTCTCAATGCTATGAAGCCAACTGTATAAAACCAAGGCTCAACTAAGTGATTTGCTCAAGGTCAGGTAGGTAGCAGGCAGTGGAAGTGAGTGTCAAAGCCAGCCCTTAGCAGAGCAAAATAAACCTTCTTTCTTCCTCTGTGGTTGCTCAAGACTGCCAAGCTTCAAACCAACCCTAGTGTCTGGCAGCATACTCATAACAAGCCCATAGTACCCCCACTGCTCAGAGAAGAGGGTACAAAGAGGGAACCAGAGAAAGTGGACTCATCTTTACTCATGAGCACAAAGTGTTGCAGACAGACTCCCCAGAGTGACTCATGGGTGCCCTCTATCACTAAGCATAGCAGTTCTAAGCCAGAGACCCACCTGTTGATGCCAAGGTGAGGTAGTAGAGAAGGGAGCCACACTGGTTGAGGAAAAAGGGCATCAGGTACTGGAAACAGAAGAAATCTGCAGTCAGTGCAGGCAGTGTGATTGCTTGACTGAACAGCACTGCCTTCTTTGAGCTTCCAGATATGCCTTCCCTTAGAGGGAGAAATAGCTCTAAGGGCCCAGGGAGCACTAAGCTCTCTGAAAAGGACCTTTCCAGGGCAGAGGGAAAGCTACTGACTGAACTTCATGCCTTTGCCCTGAATGCCTCTCCCTCAACCCTGCTAGTTCCCATCCGCCCATTCTGCACGTCCCTGAGTGCCAATGTCAGTCCCTCCAAGAAGCCTTCCTGGGATCCCTAGTTCCAGTCTCCCTCCTCTGAACTCACGCAGCACTTTATCTGTACTTCTTATAGCCCTTAGCCCTGAGAGGCAGTTGTGTCTATGTCTTGTCTCTCCCACAACTCTAGACTGACAGCATTGGGGTCGAAGGTAATTCTCCATATCTTCTCTTATCCTCCTTCCCCAGGGCCAGTTTGAGCCCCAAGCCCTCCTTCTGCAAAGGTATGTTGGATTGCCATAATAACATAATAATATCAGTCATAGATTGAGCACTAATTATGTACTAGGCCCAATGCCTCTTCTCGCTTAATCTTCATAAATGCCCTATAAGATGGTTTCCATTATAATTCCCATTTTACAGATGAAACAAACTGAGGCTCAAAGAGGACAAGTGACTTATCCAAGAGCTTCTAGTGAGTTAATGGTGGGGTGCAGACTCTGACCCAGAGACCAAATTCATTAGCAGCTCCCCGCGAGAGAGGTCATTTACAGACGCACCTCAATATTCAAGAAGAGAGTCTTCATCTCCTGCAGCAACTGCCGGACCCAGGTCCCCTCATGAACCTGCTGCAGGCGGGAGGAGGCCCGCTTCAGCAGCGGCTGTGTGCCACCCCACAAAGCCGCCACCAGCACGAGAGCCAGCACCTGCCCTGAATGGAGATGCGAGTGACCTTCTCCCCGCCACCAAATGGCCGCTCGCCGGGCCCAGTTAGCCTCCTACCTTCCATCCCCAACAAGCCGTCCCCACATCCCTCCTTCGCTCTCCAACGCCCCGGGTGCGACTGGCCCCCGGAAGGCCGGAGAGATAAATCCAGAACCCCAGGATCCGGGGTTGTAGCAGGGGTAGGGGTTGGGTGATGGAAGTGGAGTAGGAAACGAATCCGGGGTCGGGGGGGTGCTATGCAGAAGTGCGAGAAGCTCATGGAGGGGCGGGACCCCCTACCCACCGAGAGTCGCCGCCATGGCAACGCCTCTCTTCTACTTCCGGGAAGGGGAGGAGACCCATAATCCGGAAGTGGCGCCAAAATCCCTTCCGGTACTGCTCACGTTGCCCTTTTCCTGGCGTCACCGCAGGCATGGTGAGTTCCACCGAGTTGAGGTTGTTGCTGTTGGGGTCCGGGGCTGGGGCTCCGGCAGGGGCTGCTTCTGGGCGCTGACGCTCCTGTCCTATCCCCACAGAAGCCGATCCTGCTGCAGGGCCATGAGCGGTCCATTACGCAGATTAAGTACAACCGCGAAGGAGACCTCCTCTTCACTGTGGCCAAGGACCCTGTGAGTGTCGGAGGGCGGGCTGGCAGGACTAGGCAGAGGCGGGGGCGGAGGGGGGGAAGGGCGGGAGGAGGAGAGTTAATTTTGCTAGGGCGATGGACGGACAGTCCAGTTTTGCTGCGAGCTAGGAACCAAAGATTGACCCACTCTAAAAATTAGGGAGAGGCCATACCGGCAGTAGGTGGGCGAGAGCATTCTACCGGGAAAGGTGGGAAAGAACTTAATTGCTGGTAGAAGGACAGCATACCCGGGGAGAAGAAAAGCAAGAAACCAGGGGGGTGGGACGAGGGTCATTTCGTTTAAGGGACCAGGAGACTGTTCTGGCAAAAAACAAAACTATTTTACCAAGATAGGCGAACAAACGAGGGGAAAGCTAATAAAGGTGTCCCTGGTCTTATTTCAGTCAGTCCTTCTGGGCCCCTACTTGCCGCTCACTGAGTACAATCAGCTCTTCACTTTTTGAAGCATGTTTCATATGGAAGATGTTAACTTTTAATGGTCAAGAATGGGGGCTCTGAAGCCAAACAGACTTGATTTGAATCCTGATTCTTGCATACACTAGCATTATGACTTTGAGCATGTCATTTAACCTTTTTAAACTTCAAGATTCCCTTTTTATAAAATATGGGAATCGTACCTCCTTCATGGAGTTATCTGAGATCATTAAGTAGTGAGCTTCACACAGAACCTGGTGTGTATGAGTGCCTAATTAATGTTAGTCACTTATATTTCAAATTCCTTAGACATCATTTTATTGGAATAACCTCACAGCTACCTTTGAAGAAGGCATTATTGTCATGGTCATTTTACAGATGAAAAAAACTGAAGTTTAGAGGGGAGAGGCACTGTCTTTGAGATGACGTGATGAGATAATGGCATAGCAGGGACTGGAACCCAAGCTTACCTACTGTCAACAGCTCCCACTTGGACAGGACACCAAAGCTCCTGTTTTTCTCGACTGGCACTCAACTTGACCTTTTATTTTTCTGAGGGTTTATGAGTCTGGGTGGGGCTGGGACAGTGGCAGATGGAGACATTTTTGAATCCTCCTGATTCCCCTGCCACTTACCTCCAGGAAGGAGGAGAATCCAGAAATTAATCTTTCTACCAGCAACCTACTGTTTCCCAAGAGATGAGCAGGGGAGGGCAGAATCTGGCCTGGCTAGAGGCTGCTGAATGTTCCTGAGGCAAAATAGGCCATTGCTCTACCTGGGAGTGTACCATCTTGTCACTTTGTCTTTGACTCCTCCAGATTGTCAATGTGTGGTACTCTGTAAATGGCGAGAGGCTGGGCACTTACATGGGCCATACTGGAGCAGTGTGGTGTGTGGACGCTGACTGTATCCTTGTCTTTCCTCTGAGTCTTGGGTTCTCGGGGTCTGCCAGCAATGGAGAAGCTGTTGACTTGGAGATAGGAATTTGGGACGTTATTGTGTATCTAGAGAATGATACCTACCTCCTAATCCCTGGTGTGTTCACTGGTTGGGGGAACATTTAAGACAGATTCCAGTTCTAGATGAGGGGGTTAGAATGCTCTGAGGTAAGTAAGGAAGAAGGGCTCTCTGGGGCTGAACAGGAAGGTGATTCAGTTGGGCTCAGGTGAACTTGGTCATGTTTCTTAACACCCTCTTCAGGGGACACCAAGCATGTCCTCACTGGCTCAGCTGACAACAGTTGTCGTCTCTGGGACTGTGAAACAGGTAAGCCTGGGTCATTCATTTTTCAGCAAACACTGAGGACCTGCAGTGTACTGTTTAAGCGAACAGATTCTGAGGAAATAGAGGTAAATTCAAAGATGGTTCCTAGTCTAGGGAACAAGAGACAGATAAGAAAATAAGGAGGACAGACAAGAGTCACTACAGTAAGATATAAACCATGTTAGAGGAAGCATAGAGCACCGTGGAAAGGTCAGAGGGGAACAACTGGCTGCCTAGGATGGGGATGGAAGCAACCCAGGAAGGTTTCCCAAGGTAAATGTCATATGAGCAGGGGCTTAAAGGATGAGAAAGAGGTCATCACTTTGGCACATGCAGGAATGAAAGCATGGCAAAGTGTCATGTCCAAATCATCTGCTCTGGCAGGAGTTCCTACTTCTTGGGGGATGAAATAGACAACCAGTGGAGAAGACGAAGCAGGCTAGGGACCAGAACAGGCCTTGAATGCCAAACTCAGGAGCTTATCTTTGTCCTATAGGACTCGGTGTGCTGTGGAGGCCCCTGAGCATGGAAGAGTGGTGCTCTGTGTTTACTTTTAGCAAGCTCAGGTAGCAGTGTGGTGCATTGGAAGAACTGAGACTAAAGACGAGATTCTATTAAGCTACTCTATTTAGTAAATACTTACTGGGCACTCAATTCTGTGCCAGGTCTCTGCTGGACACGGGGGACACACAGAGAAGTTAGAGTAGGTCTTTCCTGTGGAGGAGCACATTCTGAGAGGAAGACAGATATCTTGCAGTCCACCATGAGCAGTGCCACATAAGCAGGATATCTCAGGAGGGGCTGTGGGGAAGGAGTTAAAAGACTTGAGCCAAAACATAGGAAGAGGAGGGTGGTGAGTTGGAGTTACTAGAGCAGGAGAAACTGAGATGCAGCAATAGGCAGGTGTGGTCTCTCTGTGGTGGCAATGGGCAAGAGGTAGCCCAGACTCTGCCTATCCCCAGGGAAGCAGCTGGCCCTACTCAAGACCAACTCAGCTGTCCGGACATGTGGCTTTGACTTTGGGGGCAACATCATCATGTTCTCTACGGATAAGCAGATGGGTTACCAGTGCTTCGTAAGTTTCTTTGACCTGCGGGATCCGAGCCAAATCGGTAAGGACTGGGGCTAGGGCTGGGGTTGAAGTAAAGGGTGCAGCTCCAAAGCCCAGGGCCTGACATCTGCTGCTCCTCACAGACAACAATGAGCCCTACATGAAGATCCCTTGCAATGACTCCAAAATCACCAGTGCTGTTTGGGGACCCCTGGGGGAGTGCATCATTGCAGGCCACGAGAGTGGAGAGCTCAACCAGTATAGTGCCAAGGTAAGGGGCTGGATGGGGCCCGAGCCCACCAGAATGATTCCCTACAAAAGCCAGGATGACACAGTGGTTAAGAGCAAGGGATGAATTCAGATACAGATTTTACCACTTTGAGCTGTGTGATCTTGGGCAAACTTGTTTATCTGTAAAATATTTCAAGGATTTAATGATATCAGGTGTTTAAAAAACTTGTCAGATTACTCAGGAACTGTTAATAATGATCACAGTTGAGCATTTTTGTGCCACCATAGAGTGCCAGGCACTATGCTGGGCTCTGAGGATGAAGAAGTGAATCAAACATGGGCATCATTGGAATGCAGTATTGGGGAAGGTCGACAGGGACTAAATTTTTTCCTTGTCAGGAGGTAAGGCGTTGTGATTTTCTTTTAGGCAGTAGGGAATCTTTAAATGATTATTAATGATCCAGTGTCCTCTTTAGAAAGCTTTTGCAAGCTACAGTTTGGAGAATGGACCTGAACGGGGCATTAGCCCTGAGAATATGGAACACTTGACGGTCAAAAGATATTTAAGGGTGACAGATGAGATGGGGTGGGTAAAGAAAGAATAAAGTCCAGACTGTCTTAGATTTCTGATTTGGGTACTTAACGTTCTTGGGGAATTCTGGAATGTAATACCATAAAGGTTAGTCAGTCATTCAGCAAGCACTGACCATGGTCCACTTGGCCCCAGGCCTACCTGCAGGAAAGAAATAGGAACCAAGGTCAAACGCCTAAGTAATGCTTGATGCTAGCAAATAGTGGAGCTGATCTGTGCCCCCAGTTAGGCCAGACTGCAAAACTGATGTGTTCCTCAAAATGGAGCCAGATGCATCCCTACAATGTGTCCAAATTGATGGAGGAGACAAAAATACATTTTTTCCGTTAGAATAGATAAAAATAAAGAAAGGAAGTGTTTTCTGAGGGTCTGATATGTGTGAGGCACAGTGCTTAAGACCTTTTAGTAATCTAACAAATGTTTGCAGAGCATAGGCCAGATACCTGTTACAACAAAGTCAAATAAGACACAGTCCCAGTATCCTCACAGTGACCTTGGGTGGTGGGCTTTCGGTAAACTTGTTTTCTAAATAGAGAAATTAAAGCTCAAGAAGTACTTTTAAGGGCAGGCTCTAAAACTGCTCTTTGTACTATAGTCTAGCAGATTGTGGGAAGGGGAATCAGATGAAAAAGCCCTGTGAGAAAACCTAAGAAGAGGCGGACATGCAGCAGTCCTCATGGACTGTGACCCTGACCCTGGCAGGGAAGGGGTGTGAGCTCAGGCTCTTACTAGCTACATGATCTCAAAGTTACACCCTCTCTGAACCTTAGTTTCTCCCTTTTAAATTTTCCATTAAAATACCCACATAATAGGATTGTCGTGAGGATTAAATGAAGTAAGATATTGTTCAGTGCTTAGCACAATGCTTGGCAAATAGTAGCTGTTCGATAAATATTTGTTGAAAAATATTTGCTCTACCATTATATATAATATGATTAATAGATCCATAGATTTGTCACCATAAGCATGTGTTTTCCCAGACGGAGTAGCAGTATTCATGAAACTTGTACAGGTTAAGATGTAGACATGAGCTGGGGAGAGTGAATAAATTTTGATTCAGGAGAGACTTAGTCCCAACCCAGACCTCCCCTCCCCTTGATGAGATAGGAAGCAGTATAGAACCCTGATTGAGCGTTGGGGCTAGTGGGGTTTAGGCTAGTCAGAGCCTCACTCTTCTTTGTTCTCCAGTCTGGAGAGGTATTGGTGAATGTTAAGGAGCACTCTCGTCAGATCAACGACATCCAGTTATCCAGGGACATGACCATGTTTGTCACTGCATCCAAGGACAACACAGCCAAGGTGAGCAAAGGCAAGGGGTCTGGCAGGGCTGCTCTCACCCTCCTGCTCAGCTCTCAATTTGCCTGACTCCCCACAAGAAAGCTCCTTTTACAGATTTTTCCCCTGCTTTCTCTCTCCAGCTCTTTGACTCCACAACCCTTGAACATCAGAAGACTTTCCGGACAGAACGTCCCGTCAACTCAGCTGCCCTTTCTCCCAACTACGACCATGTAAGGGAACCTCACCCAGGCTTTCTTCTTGAGCTTCAAAATGCTTCCAGGGTCTAGATGTTTGTCTACCAATTAAGATACGAACTCTGGAGGAAAATGGTGTCAGGCAGAGGAGATTACCATAGCGTCTACAAGGCCGAAGGATTGAGGAGCCCCAGGGACAGGATAGGGGGTGGCTGATGTCCCCTATCCTTAGTATCTTCCCATTCTGATGTAGGAGATATTAAAAGTTTATAGGGAGGGGGGGTTAAAACAAAATGGGCTTACATGTCCTTTGGGCCTATCTAAGGTTTCTTCTTCCCTCCAGGTGGTGCTGGGTGGTGGTCAGGAAGCCATGGATGTAACCACTACCTCCACCAGGATTGGCAAGTTTGAGGCCAGGTAAAGGGAAGAGTTCTTCCAAACTGAAACCTCATGGAATGTCTTTCATAATGGACACAAGCCATGTAACTGAGAGTTCCTTTATTTACTGGCTGCTAGAAAGTACAGTCAGATTTGTGGCCCTCTTGTGACAAGTGTGTAATACAGCAGTTACGAGCATGAACTCTGATGCCTTAGATATTGTATTTCTCTGTGCCCAGTTATCCTCAGCTGTATAATGGGGTCAGTGGTAATATACTTACCTCATAAAATTGTGCAGATTAAACAAATGAGTTAATTCTTATTAAGCACTTAGAGCACTGCCCAGCACATGGTAAGGAAGTGTCAGCTATGTGTGCAGGCAGCCGTTTGGGTCCAGTCTTCCCCTAACTTCATCTGATTTTGTTTATTCATTTCCCCTTATCCCAGTTTCCCCACTTTATAGTTTGCATTTGGCAGTGGTACCTCCAAAGTGTTTTGGAAGGAGATGGAGAATGAATTAACTATCTCTTCTCACAACAAGCTCTTCCAAGGTTCTTCCACTTGGCCTTTGAAGAAGAGTTTGGAAGAGTCAAGGGTCACTTCGGACCTATCAACAGTGTTGCCTTCCATCCTGACGGCAAGAGGTAAGGCCTGGTGAAGGGAACTGAGCTCAACCCTGGTCTGGTCCCTGCCCCACAGGCCAACCCTCTGCCCCTTTCCCATCCCCCAAAGCAGGCATCTTGACTGGTCCCTGGTTATCTCTTTCCAGCTACAGCAGCGGCGGAGAAGATGGTTATGTCCGCATCCACTATTTCGACTCACAGTACTTTGAATTTGAGTTTGAGGCTTAAGAAGCTGGATTTCCATCCTGTCCAAGGAAAAGTTTCCAGGTCAGGGCTCACAGAAAGTTTTGGACTCTGAAGAATAATAAATTAGTTTGGAAATAAATGTTTTCTGGTCAGATATTTTATGGGGTCTGTTTAATCATTTTCCCTTCTCAGTGTGACACCCCAGCAAGCTAATACCATAAGTCATGGGTATACCTTTATTACCTGGACCTTCTCCCTACACTTTGGACACTTCAAACCTAGAACTTCAGTATTGTGGGCTAGGGTGGTTGCAGGCACCCTCATCCAAGGTCCAAAGGTGCTCAGGGGCCTGGAGAGGTCTCGAGACTGTCTCAGCCACTATCCGAGGAGCCAGTGCTTAGGGCTGGGGCTCAGAGGCTGAAACTGTTGGCTGAGAGCCTTCTGTCTTCTCTGTATCTGTCACTATTTGCCACACTTTCTCCCATGCTACCTCTGAAGCCTCAGGTGGGCGGGTCCAGCGCAGAAACAGGCCTGAGGAGGAGGAGGAGGAAGACAGGTAAAGAAGCTGATCAGAGGGCATAACCCCTAGGGAAGAAAGTGGCATGGGGGATGTACCTTGCCACAGTTGCAGGCTCTGAGGCTCCACAGAAGGCCAGATGGCCAAGGGATTATGGACGTAGAGTGGGTTCTGGAGTTTTCATTGTTGTGGCTGGTTGAGCCCCGACCACAATGAGTGTGTTCGAGTTCTTACTTCACACAGACATCTGGAGGGAGAGAGTTTCTAGACTCAAACAGGCACTCTGGGATTCTGAACGGAGGGCCCTGGTTGGTGGTGTGACAGCTACCTTGAGGCAGTGATAACCTCTCCCTTTTCCTGCAAATGTTACTACTGCCAGTCAGATCCTGTATTACGCACTCCAGTAAAGTGGAACAAGACAAAGCCTAGTTCTTAAAGAGTTCTGCCTAGCTTTGCCTGAAAGTGTTAGGGAAGGCTAATTAGGAATGTGCCATTGGAGCTGGGTCTAGCAGCAAATGTTCACCAGGTGTGTAAAAACTTGGAAGTACTTAGAAGGGGAAACTGCATGAGTGAAAGCGAGAAAGTGGGAAAGGGCCCAATGTGAATGTTGATACTGATGAATGATGAAAGTGGAGATAGAGCAGTGTGGAGGCTCTTCCAATGATCCACATGGAAAGAATTCAGATTGGGGTTGGTAGGAGGGGCCTTTGACAGGAGAGGACTAACCTAAGAAAATTTTAGGAGAAAGGTAAACATGAAGGATGGGGGGAGTGAGGTAAACAAAGATAACAGTTTCTAACCTGGTTGACCCACAAGTAGAGTTAATGAAAAGGAAGAAGCTGGGCAACAAAAGATAACTGACTGTGATCTCCACCTTCCTGGAGAGCAGTGAACCCTCCCTCCCTTTCAGTCTGATGAGAGAAAGATGGCTTTTGGAGGCTTATTGGGAGCATATGAAACCAAACAAAAATAACTATCGCTTGTGTGCCCACTGTATGCCAGGCACTGTGCTAAGCACTTTCCATGTTTTCACTCTGCTAATCCTTGCACCACCACCACCTCAGATTATGGCTGCGATCATGATCCTCTCCTTGCTACTGATGAGCAAACAGACAGGTTTGCTTATGATCACCCAGCAGGTGAGTGGTGGAGCCAGAATTTGAGCCCAAACAATTGGACTCAGCTTTCAACTTCTGTTGCTTCACTAGAATCAACCTTACAAAGTGGTAGAGAGCCCAGAAAAGATTTATTTTTGCAGCAACTTTCCCTTTCAGTCCTTGTTTTTAAGCTGGGGGTGCAATTGTTACTGGCTATGGACAGAGTGGGTAGGTCCAAAGGTTTGGCTTTGGACCCATCCATCTCTGGGTTTACAAAATTTAAGGGGAAGTGTGAAATCTGGAGGTAGGGACGGAGAGGACACTAGGATTTTTTTCTAAAAGAAACTCATCTGAAAGGGAAAGATATCTTCCAAGGAAATAAGGTGCTGACACAGCAGGTATCCAACTCTCCGAAGCCTGCCCCATGACCCGCCTCGACACCTCCTTAGCTCACCTTTCCTTTTCGCTGTTGCAGAGGAAGGTGCCAAAGGGGGAGGCATAGACAGCGCCAACAGCAGCCCCTCCCCAAACTCCAGCGACAGCGGGAACTGGCGGCCCAGCTGCCATACACAGTCCAGGAAGAGGAGAAAGGTGGGTGCCTTGTGCTTGGGGCAGGTGTGGGAGAAGGCTGAGTGGGCGCAGCGCAGCTGGAAGGGGTGGCCAGCCTGGGAAGGGGCAGAGCGATGGGCACAAGGAAGCGGGGTTTCTGGGTGGAGGGGAAGGGTTGGGGCTGGATGGCCACTTACCTGGATCCACTCCCGTTCCACCAGCTCCTGGAATCCAGCAATTGTCCGACTCAAGGGATCCAGGATGAGTTGGGCCAGCAAAGTCAAAAGCAGGGTGCTGTCAGTGCCTTCAGCCCCATGCACCAGGATGCAGGCCCCTTCCCTGTGGGCCCAGGGCTTATCAACTGAAGCCAGTCCTTTCCTGCCTTGGGTGGCTGGGCCAGGAATAGAATGCACCCAGTTCTAAGCTGTATTTGCTCACTGAGACATGTACCCAGGGATTGAGAGCTGTGCCCCGTGCTGTCTCCTAGGGTGGGGATCTTACCTCTTCATGCCCTGGGCTGCTAGGCAGGCGGTGCTCAGTGCCTCCTTCACATGAGCCAGCCAGCAGCAGCTCTCTAATTGACTAAGCCAGCGGTCTATGCTCTGCTCCAGGTCCCCACAGGCCTCCACTCAGTGCACGAAACTCTCCTGTAGAGGCTGCCCCCTGCACAAGTGGGAGTCTGGTCATTCCTCCTCAAGGCCAAGCTGTGGGGAGCACGGCCTAGAAACAAGTGCTCCAGGTCGAAGAGGGAGTCACAGAACTCTCAGAGGAGCCCATCAGACAAGAGGGACCCAGGACAGTTTGGGGAGCCCACTTAATCTGATGGAAATAAGTCAGTATCCTCGGGGATTTCCCAATCTGATAGAGAAGACCCAAGATTGTTTGGGGTGACTTACTCTGTTGGGCACAGCATTACCTGGAAAGGGATCACATGACCCTCTGGGGGAATGCAGAATGCCCTGGGAAACCCCCAATTTGATGGAAGTATCACAATGTCTTAAGTACCCCAATCTGATGGGAGTAACACAGTACTTACTGGGGAGCCCCAGTCTGACAAGAGAAACACAATACTCTTGGGATTCTGGTATCTGCTGCTTCCTAAAAACTGTTCTGCTCAAGATCGACAGTGACCTCCTGCCAGAAAATCTTTTTTTATTTTTATTTTTTATTGTTCAATTTCAGTTGACATACAATATTAGTTTCAGATGTACAGCATAGTGGTTAGACATTTATATACCTTATGAAGTGATCACTCCGTAAGTCTAGTACCCATCTGACACCATACGTAGGTATTATTATCGACTATATTCCCTGTGCTGTACTTTACATCCTGTTTAAAAGCCTTCACTGGCTCTTCACTGCCCTTAGGATAAAGTCTAAGCTCATAATCTTGACATTCAAAACCTTTTCTCTGGCCCCTGTTATCCTTTTAGTCCCACTTCTTTCTACCTCCACCTCATACTCTACACTCCCACCATACTGAAGTACTTGCAGTTCCCCAAACAGAACAAATGACCAGGCTCTCTGCTCCTATATACCTGCAGTACCTTTCACATGCAATGTCCTTCCACTTTCTGGCTAATTCCTCCTCCTCTTTCGGGGCTCAGCTAAAGCATCCTACTCTCAGGGAAACTTTCTTTGGACTACCTATACTAAGAGAGAGGTGCCTCCTCTGTGCTGCTACTTATCATATTGAACTCTGCCCATTTACTGCTGATCTTTCAGCCAGGGCTGGCCACCACCTCAGCCTCTGTGCTCAAAGTGTTGGTTGAATACATGAATAAACAGAGTCTTGTATTCTGGGTAGGGGGGCAATGCACTCTCCTCCAAGCACAAAAACTCTCTCAGGACCTCCTCTTGGTACTACAATCATCTGGAGACAGGGAATAGATACAGCTATGCAGGTACAGCCCTCAGGGCAGGGCGGGGGAGAGTGTGTGTGTGTTGAGGTTGTTCCTGGAAGACAAAAGTGTGTGTGTGTGTGTGTGTGTGTTGAGGTTGTTCCTGGAAGACAATTTTTAGTTTGATGTAAAGAGGTGCTTTTTCTTTCCCATAGAGGGACGCTGAGGAAGTAAAGAGCCCTCTCAGTGGGGGTGTACAAGTCACGATGGCCATCTGGCAGGATGGCTACCAGCAAAAGCCTAACAGTCCTCAAGGTCCCTGGAAGACACTCATTCCCCCATCCTCTATCTCCATTCATGAAGAGTCCTGCAGGGGAGATAGCCTAGGAGAGGATGGAAAGACTCCTTACCTCTCCAGCGGCCGGTGCAGCCGTTTCCAGCCAGGATAAGTGACCTTGGCCTCGGTGCCACCGCCAGTTATGAGGGCCTGTTTGGAGGTCTGGGCCGAGCGTGTGTCCACAACGAAGCTCCGTCCCGTGGGGGGCCGCCGCCAGCACAGCTCGCAGCAACTCCTCATCCTCAGCGCAGCGCCGTTTGTGGGCCTGGTCAGGGGCTGGCTGGAACGTAACAACCTGCCAACAGGAAGCCGTACCCACCAGCCCTGGTTCAGGGACCCCGCTCAGGACAGGGTCTACACATGAAGTGGGTCAGAGCTGGCAGGGGTGGGCTGGGGAAGCAGGGCTCTTATGGGAGGAACTCGGAGCCGGCTCTGGGTGGCTTTTGGCAGGGAGGGGGACGGACCCGATGAGTAGAACGTGGGAGGGTCCTGGGTTGACAAAGAGACTAGGCTTCAGCCTACCAGAACCGCCAGGGTCGGGGCTAGAGAGCCTAGACTCCGATACCCGGGAGAGGGGCGGGGCCAGAGTCGGCAAAGGCAGGGTTAAGCTGAGCGGGCTGGGCCTGTTGGAGGCCGGACAGGGCGCTGCCAGGAAGGGCAGGAGCCAGGGTAGCAGCCGGGCACCGAACTGACCCGCCCAATGCAGAAAAGGGCCCAGAAGGGAAGCGGTTGGTGCTAGCGACAGAATTTGGGGAGGAGTGGGGCCCACGGTTCTGCTGGGAGTATGGTAGTAGCTGAGCACTGGAAAGCGGCCTCCCTGGAGGAAGCGGGCACTGCGCTCCAGGGCATCGTTGTCCACTGTGCGAGGCACGATCACGGCGCGGGGGTAACTAGGGCACAAGCTGAAGTCCTTGTTCACCTCACTCAGCGGCCATGCGTTAGTTGGTCTGCAGCGCAGGGAGGGGCGGAAGCCAGGTTTAATGTACCCAGTGAGTGCCACATCCCCGCGCCCCTTCCGGGCCCAATGCTTCCACATCCACAGGTCCCCACGACCGCAATTATCTCCGGAGCTACTCGCTTGTAGTACCATTCGGGCGGGTAGAAGTGCCAGGCTTCGCCCAATCTCAAGTCCTTGGGACGGTAGAAGAACGGATAGGAGGTGATGACCGATTCCAGGGAAGATAGCGCCTGGGGAAGGAAGTCAGGGATCTGAGAAAGGTCGGAATTATCTCATCCGCGCCCTTCCAACCCCTCGGTTCCGCAGCTCCCTCCTCTCCAAGTGTTTCAGACCATCCTGCATCCCCTTGCCATTAGCTGTGCCCCCGGATAACACTGGCTGCTGAGTACCCTTGCTCAGTAGCCTCTGTTTACTACCCTCGTTACGGGATAGGGGTAGCTTAAGGACCTCAGGTGCACCCTTGGCGTACCTCGGTGGAGCGGGCGATGTCAAGCTTCCACGCCCTCTATGTCCAGCTGCAGCACGCGGAGATCCTTACAGCGCGGCGTGATGGTGCCGGAGTCACCCGCGACCCTGGGGATGGACGAGCTTAGGCTTAGTGTCCCCCGCCCTCCACCACGGGAGGAGAAATCAGTTTTATAAGATTAGATATTACATAGGGAGGGGGGGACAACAACTCCAACTGCGCTTGCCCTTCCCCTTCTCCCTGTAGAGCTGCGAGGTCCCCAATTCCGGGGACGCCCCCGCCACGCTCACGGCTTCTCTATAGAGTCGATGCTACGCAACAGCAGCAGCCACAGGTCGGGACACGCCTGGGGCCCTGGAGACAGCAACAGGTGGCGGCCCGTGACGTACAACGTGCCAGGCAGCGGGTGCGCCTCCGCGCCCTGCAAGAGCTTGGCTTGGGCCCGGCGTGTACGGATCAGTTCTGAGAACATTCCGCATGTAGTGGGCCTGGGGCCCAGCAAAAGGACATATTCGAAGAGTGTCAGTCGGGGCGAGCGGGGGCTCCGAAAAGGACAGGAACTGGCTGGGCAACTGGCGACACCGGGAGGACAGCTGTTAAGGAGGCCCCTTAGAAGAAGGGATCGTAGTTTCACAGGAATTTCCCTTTCTTATTGCGAGCACCTCTTAGTGAGACCCCAGCCAGAACCTGTTAAGGAAACCTCAATTTCATCATCTGTGAAATGGGCAGAATAATCACTTCAAGCCCTTAACCTCGTGCCTAATTCGTAGGCACTCAATGTTTTTGGTATTTTAATCTGAGGTGCCGGTACTCCTGCTGACTTAAAAAAGAAAGAAAAATACCATCTCTTCTCCTGAACCCTGGTGGAAGGGGTGGAAAGTGTGGGTGTGAATCTGGGAACCGTCTACTTCCTCCTTTGCTAAGGCTGGGTGGGGGAAATCCCTTGGTCCACCTTAAATGCAAACAGCTGTGTGGCTGGCGCCCCTCCCCCATCACAGCTGGAAGTCCCTGCTTGACTGCGCCCTCTGTGGGAGCCACTTCTGGCTTAGTCCTGCCCTCTGGAGTCCCATCCCCTATCACTCCATCCTTTGACCAAAAATGAATTGTTCATACACTGAGCTGGGCTCTGTATTTGGTGTTGGAACCCGAGAATGACTGAGGAAGTTTCTGTTCATAAGGTTTTCAGTGTGGCAAGAGACACACTTTAAGCTAGTAAATTACATGAGATTAAAATGATTCACTGGAGGATCTATCCATCTGTCCACCCAATTATTCTTTTATTTCTTAAACACTGATGCCTACGCTGTGTTAAGTGTTGATTACTAAGAATAAGAGGGACTCCTGCCTTCAATGGGCCTTCTGGTCCACTAGGTTCCAAGCATGTGTGTGTGTGTGTGTGTGTGTGTGCGCGCGTGCGCACGTGCATGCACACAAAACCTTTCTTTCAAATAAAAAATATAAAATCGTAGGAGGACCCCCATAATATAAACATAGAATTGGAACTACTCTGTAAAAGAAAACAGGCATAAAATTGTAAAATTCCAGACCAGAAGTATCAGCCAGGATGGGAATTTGTTAGAAGTGCAAACTATGAGCCACCCTACTCCACACATACTAAATGAGAAGCTCTGAGTGTAGAGCCTAGTAATCTTTTTAAACAAGTTTTCCAGGTGATTCTAATTCATGCTAAAGAGTGATACACTAGAATATATATTTTTTAAAAAGGCTAAACTAATCTACACTGTCAGAAATTAGGGTAGTATTACCCTATGGAGAGTAGTGACAGCCTGGACCCTGGCAATATAGTACTCTGTTGCTTGATTTGGGTGCTAGTTACATAAGTGCATTCAGTTTGGGAGACTTCATCAAGCTGTGTGTTTATGATATGTGAATTTTTCTGTGTGTGTGTTATATTCCAATACAAAATTTACAAAAGGGAACTGCTTTGGTTGAAGCCCTGGAAGGGGCCACAGGGAGAGGTAGGCTCAGGAGCCCATCCACAGCTCTGCCCTTACCCAGCACCTAGCTCCTGAGGGATTACCAAGGGACCCTAAAGTTCCTTAGAGTGTAGCTTGAAATCATTGATCTGTCCCAACAGTCAGTTACATGTCTGAGGCCGCACAGAGCCAGCACCAGAACCCAAGTCTTCTGACTCCCAAGCCAGGGTTCTGGACACTATTATTTTGCTGAAGAGCCACTGTTATGAGTGAGGACTGGGGGCAGTTGGTCAGCCTCCTGTTCCCTCCCTACTCCCTTACTTGGGTCTTGGGAAGAGGGCCAAGACTAGTGTGGATGATGCTTTTCTTATCCTGTAGCAACTTCCTTTCTGGGAACTGGGTGTCTACTTCTGGGCAAAGACAATAAAATTCATCCAAGGGGCCAGAAGAACAGGACTCCTCCTGCTACCACCCGGACGGGCATCACGTGGCTCCAGGGTTAGCAGTCCAGGAAAATCTCAGCTCTTGCACACTCAGCCTCCCACACCCATCTACTCACCCACACTGACACACTCAGCCTTCCATAACACTCCCTGGGCAATATTGCCAGCCTTTCCCTAATCCCAGAGCTGTAGCCTTGTCCTGTCACTCACCCCAAACCTACCATGTCCCTGGGACCATTGACATTCCAGGCAGTGGGTGAAGACAATGAGGAGGATGAGGAGGAAGAGAGCCTGGACTCTGTGAAGGCGCTGACGGCCAAGCTACAGCTGCAGACACGGCGGCCCTCATATCTGGAGTGGACAGCCCAGGTCCAGAGCCAAGCCTGGCGAAGGGCCCAAACGAGACCTGGGCCGGGGAGACCTGGGGCCATCTGCGGCTTTGACTCAATGGACTCTGCCCTTGAGTGGCTCCGACGAGAGCTGGTGAGTCTGGTGGGGTAGGCAATCTTGCAGAGGACCTTGGGGACGGTTCTTCTTAGGGCTTAAGACCACAGGTGTGGGGCAGGGACGAGAACAGACCCCACTTCCAACAGCTGTCTACTACTGTGGCTGTGTCCAGGAAGCTGAGGAGCCAGGAATGAATTTGTTCAGTGTCTTATTCAGGGAGACTTGCTGAAGAAGAATTTCATCCAATCCATTGACCTGTGTTTCTGTGGCTCAGGGGACAGATCCCTGCCCTTGGGGCCACCAGTTATAGATGGGGAGGGCATGGCCTCCCCTACTCTGGGAATGGCCATGAAGTACAAAATACACTGAGAAGTACAAAATAAGGTACTGAGCATGCTGTAGGGAGACTCTGAGGAGGCAAATGTTGAATAGATGGCTCTTAACCCAACATATGCAAATATAAAGATGTCCAGGCTCCAAATTGGAGAGTCCACTTAGTTATCTGGGCCCCAGGCACCTGTATTTGTATATAATGGCTCCTTATCTTAGTTTTAGAGCCACCACTGTGGAGCAAGAGCAGAGAGATGGAGAGGAAGCAAGTTGGGGTGAGGGGGCTGAAGAGGACATAGCCAGTGCAAAGCCCCAGGGTGTCGATAGAAAGGGAAGATAGGCCAGAGGCTGAGGACAAATCCAGCAGACTGACACTCCCCTCTTGGCTGCAGAGGGAGATGCAGGCTCAGGACCGGCAGTTGGCGGGGCAGCTGCTACGACTGAGGGCACAGCTGCACCGGCTGAAGGTGGATCAAGCCTGTCACCTGCACCAAGAGCTGCTGGACGAGGCTGAGCTGGAGCTGGAGCTGGAGCCAGGGGCCAGCCTGGCGCTGGCCCCGCCACTGCGGCACCTCGGCCTCACACGCATGAACATTAGCGCCCGACGCTTCACCCTCTGTTGAGGGGCACCTGTGTGCCTCCCGGGCCACCCGCTACCCTTTCCCCAGCTCACCTGGAAAAGGGGAAGCGAGGGGTGCCCCAGAGGCAGCAACACCTGGCCAGGGTGGAGGTTGGTGGGTACACTCAGCTCTGGGAGCATAAAGCCCCCTCCCCGCCGCATCCTGTCCCTGCTGTTGCCTCAGGTGTGTGTGTGTGTGTGTGTGTGTGTGCGCGCGCGCGTTTGGGGGCATGGCAGGGGGAGTGGGAGGGATGGGAGCTCACAGACCCCCAGGCTCTCAATAAATGCCCTCTCTGCTTCCCATAGAGGTCTCTGTAGTCATTTATCAGGCCCAAGTGTGCTGAGTGTCATCTGTTGCTGGAACCAGGGATTCCACTGCAGGAGAGAACTGATGGATCCCCTCCTCCCCCACAACTCCAGCTCTATTGCTCTATCTTATCGAGATCAGAACTGGGAAAGAACTTAAAATCTTAAATCACCCTCATGGAAGGCGACTTGTGTAAACGGGCAGCTGAAGAATGCAGGATCTAGTAAACCTGTGTTCAAAGCCAGCGCTACCATTTATTTCTATCAGAATTTGAGGAGGTCTCTTAATTCCTGAATCTAAAATAGAAATGCTAATTCTTACTTTACAAGTAGTTGGAAATGTCTTAAGTGGGATAATGTACAGTAAGCACTCAATAAATGTGAACTACATCTTGCTTATCATTACTATCACCAGTGGTATTATTACTATTATGCTGAGGCTCAGAAATGGCCTGTGAAGTGCTCAGGTTCATAGCAAGGGGGAACTGACGCCTGCCCAGACTCTGGGCTCTGTAGGGCTTTTTTTATTTTTTTTTACTTTGTATCTCTCAGCCTTTGTTTCTGTGTTACTCTCTTTGTCTGACTTTCCAACTCAGGCTTCCTCTTCCCCCCACCCATTTCCTGTCTCCCCCTTTCCTTTGCAGCTGAGGTGCACACTGCATCAACTTCCACCTCACAAACCCCAACAATGCTCTGTGGGTTCCCCTCCCCCAACCTGCTCACTCCACTGTAAGCTCAGGTTGTGGTGACGCATTTATACATTCCTCTGGGTGGGGACAATACCCAGCTCTTGGGTTTGATAAAGGTCACCTGGTGTTCCTCTTTTCACTGATGACCTGGCCTTCCACCTATGATAGGTGCCACCCTCAGTGTGGCCCTAAGGTAAAGGGAGATTTTTGGCCTGCTTGCTGCTTGTGACACGGTTCCTGCCTCCTGCCTATAACAGAAAGTGCTGCTGCTTGCACCTGGGTGCCTGGGCAGGAGTGTTTGTTCTGTCTTCCACCTGTTGCAAGAGGTGGTATCAGACCTGGTACCTCTAACAGAGTCTGTGGCCTTGACTCTACGTAAATTAAAAGTGTTCCCCTACTCCCCAACCATAATCAGTGGGTGTTGTCTTGCCCCCTTAAGGACATGGGGTTATCTTGCCTGTTTCCTTAAACAGCTTATTGTCCAGCATTCTGTCTGTGCAAAGCCTGTTAGCCTATCCTCTGACTATAATAAAGCTATTATCCTGTGCCCTGAGATGACATGGCTATTATTCTGACTATAGTAACCAGGTTAGCCTGATGTCTGACTACAACATGGGTGTTCTGCTCTCTGGCCACGTAACAGGGATATTATCCTCTCCTCTGACTCTGAAAAGATGTTACCTTTGCCCTCAGACTGTGATGAAAGGGTTCTTTAGCTCTCAGGCTCTGACAACAGTGCTTTTTGCCTTTCACTGACAGCTGGTGTGTGTCTGCCCCCCTCACCATTGGGGTTTGAAGTCTGCCCTTGAATCTCTTGTCCAGGTGCTCTCTGGAGGGCAGGAGGGAGGTTCCATCAAATATCCCCCTTTCACCTCCTAGTGCCACTCTCGGGGTGAGTAAGGCCTGGCCTGGAGGTGTACAGGACCCCCAGAGACTGAGGGGTGGGGGGCTATGGTAGCAGGAAGCTTAGGGTGCTAGAGGCTTGTGGTTGGGCTGCTGGGGCCCGGTTGGCTGAGGAGCCCTCAGGAGGAGGCAGGAAGTCAGGGTGAGACGTGGGCGCCAGGAGTCAGGTGGTGGCTACGACGGCGAGGGGAGCTGAAACTGTGTCTGGGCAGCCAGGCTAGGCCAGCAGGACCATGTGAATGGGGCCAGAGGGCTCCTGGGCTGGGCAGGTAAGGAGTACGGGGAACAGGGGTCCATGGTGCTGGTGGGGGGCCTGATGGCAGCGGGCTGCAGCGGAGCATGGGGCCAGGCTCCCAGGGTATGCAGCAGCCCTTTGGGAGAGGAGGGCAGAAGAACCTTGCTGGAGGTCAGGTAGGAAGCGGGCAGCTCAGCTGGACACCTCATTCCTGCATAGCCGTTGGCTCAGCTCTGCCACGCTGCCCTCCATCAGCCTCCACCTCACTGGGAGATCTGGCACACACAGTCAGATATTAAAAAGGCCTTCAGAAATCCCCAAGTCCAGCCCCACATCCCATGATGGATGAGCCTCCTGAGGCTCAGAGAGGGCAAGGCACTCCCTCCCTGCAGTCCCTCAGCAAGGCAGTGGCAGACCCCTAGGAAAGCATGATGGTCTGGGCTGTGACCCACCTCATGGAGCAGAGCGATGAACAGGCTTGAGTCAGGGGGCCCAGGAATCCGTCTGGTTGCTGGGAGAGACCCCAGTGACAAGAATCTCTTGAGACTGGAGTCACCCAGAGCATCCAGATGAACATGTGTGAAGTAATTTTTGCATTGCTTGATAGAGGGAGGAGTTTCTTCTTGGGAACGAATGGATATGTGAGGGCATATTTATCATTTGGAAAGGGGCTTCCAGGGCGGAAGTATCTGACCCGATGCTAGGAAGTTGGCTCAGAGAGAATGAGGGGAAATGGGGAGAGGAAGGACTATTTTTATTCTGGACAGTGGTGCCGTTGGCCTTGGGCAAGGAACGTCTGAACTTCCACCTGGAAAGATGCCATTTCTGCCCCTGCCAAGTGTCACAGGACGTCTTCCCCTCTCCCGTTGCTC